ACCTACAGGATATTATGCTTGCTGAAATGTCAGACAGAGAAAGACAAATACTCTATAATGTCACTTATATGTGGAATCTAAGAAATAATGCAAATGAATCTACATACAAAACAGAAACAGACTCACAGACATAGAAAACAAACTGGTGGTTACCAAAGGGGAGAGGGAAGGCGGGAGGGACAAATTAGGGGAATGGGATTAACAGATACAAACTGCTATACATGAACAGATAAGCAACGAGGATTTACTGCACAGCACAGGGAATTATACCCATTATCTTGCAATAATCTGTAATGGAATATAATCTGCAAAAATACTGAATCACTATACTGCACACCTGAAATTGACACAATGTTATAAATCAACTACACTTCAAACAAACAATCAGACAAATAAATAAATCAAAGCTATCCACGACTTGTCTCCAAAGCCAGCCTGGCCCTCCCCAAGGGACTCAAAGGTCCTCTCTAGGGAGAGCTGTCATCACCAGATCACCAGCATCACCAGCTGCGGCTGAGGGTCTGTTTCTCAGGACCCAGAGCCTTTTACCCCCAGCGAGAGGTTCCAGCAGAAAGGACAAAGGCCCAGGGGAGAGGAAGCCCATCTGGAGAGGACTTTGTCCTCAGCAGGATAACCTACAGTCAGAATCATTCAAAAGGGAAGGGGTTTCAGGGAGGAAGGGGAATCCAGACAGAGAGGCCTGGGCTCCTGCAGGCAGAGTGACGACGTTCATGATTTGGGCAAAGGCAGGTGCCGGTCTAGAGGTCTTCACTCTGAGAAGTCTGGAGCCAGGGGAGGGAGCGTTTTTATTCCATAGGTCAAGGGACCAATGTTGGGGTTCTCCCAAGTATGTCTATTCCAATAGACACCCAGGAACAGATACATAACCACAGTGGACCCGTGGACCCAGTGAACTCACTGTGAGCTGGGGGAAGGCCAGGGCTCCATTATCCCCTGGCCCCCAGGCTCCCCTCACTCTAATGGAGACGTGATGATGCTTTGGGTCACCAGATACCAATGTCCGTTCAGACCCTGTACCAACAATTCTTTCAAGTCCTTACAATTCCCCCTTCCTCATGCTCAATTACAGAAGTATATGGTCATGGATCCTTTTTTGGAAAGGACCTGGGGGAAATGTTACTTCAGACATTTACCATGATGTTGCATGTCCTTTCGTCAGTGGCTCAGGTCCAGAAACGGGTTAAGGAATCATGACATTTTACCGGGGGCAGCTGCCTTCAGCCCCCGTTCATCCATCCTTGGTTTCTTTTGATTGTCTAAATTAAGCCATACAGGGTCGGCCATCCATCTGTCTTGCCTCTAGGAACACTGTGTTCTGGTAACCGTCTCTATAGCCCTTTGCGGGTCAGGCCCTCCTGATCGCCACTCCGATTTTGCTGCTCAGTGCAATAATTGTGCCCACCTGGGTTCTAAAGGTTAAACACCGCCACCTGGCCTCTATTCTATTTGGGGGGGGGTTCTATGACCCCCATGGGTATCAGAGCCTCGTTCTGTGATAGTGTCTCCTACTGTGTATAAAGCTCGTGCCCCTCCCTCCCTCCCCAGCTCACCCCTTACTGCTTCGATATGGGGTGTTCTCCACGGCCTCCCTCGGAACAGCTGGCGGGGTTTCTGGCCTTGGGTCCTACAAATGGTCTAGAATGCCCACTCCTCTCAGCCTTTCTAGTGCTTCCTCCACTGTGTGCCACGGCAGCTCTGTGGACCATTGCTTTTCCTAAGCTTCTCAAAATCCATCTTTAAAGTGTGTCAGCACCACCTCCCGGGTTCCTGGCCAGAGTGTTAAGTCCTGTCTCATAGAAGAGTACTTCCTTACCAACACCTGCTCTGATGCAACCGCACCTTCCTCCCGTCTTGGTCCAGCGCAGGACTGAGTTCTGTGCACACTCCCTGCTGGAAGAAATTAGCCAGATCCTTGGCTCCTTCAGCGTGGAGTCCCTCTCCTCCCTGAGCGGGCCCAGCATGGTTCGGATTTGACTCTTGTGGTCCATCAGAGCACCAGAGAGGCGGCGGAGGTAGATTCTGAGGACAAGCATTATTTCGCAGGGGCCTGCCTCATTTGACACTGAGTGTGACCTTTCTAGAAGAGGGGCCAGTACTTGCCGACAAGAAGTGTCTCACTTTTGCAGGCCCGGTGGGTTCAGAAGAATCGGAGAGGTCAAGGTTCTTAAGTGCATTTACTCAAGTCTCAGGTTCCCACCCCTTTCCTCACAGGGCTCCGAGCCTGGCACCCAAGGCCATGTCAGATTGAAGAATTCTACCTTCCCTGGAGCTCTGCTACACGTACCACTAAGTCTTAAGCCTGGTCCTTCCTCTGCAGGTGAGATTTCCTCACATGTTGCCCAGGAGGTCTCCGGGCTTTCGCTTTTGGCCTGGGTGATTTTTCACCTTGAGACTGTCATTACCCGTCTTTAGCAAATCACCCATCTCAGCAAAGTCATTCATTTCCATAGTTCTAACACCCACTACTTCCCTCAAGCGCCAGAGACATGGCACTAGCCAGTGTGACCCCTCCCGCCCGTGTCCCCCTACCCCGGCCCAGGTCACCAGCACTGAGTTTTAACAATTACGAGGTTACAGCATGCCAGGGATTAACCTGACTTCTCCCCCAGTGATGGGTTCTCCGCTGACAGCTGTCTGGCAAATGGACCCTCTCCAAACTCCCACTTCTGCTTCCTAGGACCACCTCCAGCCCAAACTGGCTTGGTTTGGGTTCCCCAAAAGCAGACTCTGAGCTGGAGAATTGTCTGCAGAAGGTTTATCAGGCGGTGCTCCTGGCAGGTACACCTGTAAATGAGAAGATAGGATTGCAAAGAGGGAGACACCAATCTCCAATGTGGTTACAACCGAGGCCTCAGCTGATCCTAGAAGGGAGCTCGGAGCTGGGCTGGCCCTTCAGAGGGTCCCGGAACAAGGCAAGGAGGCCGGGGTAAGACGTTTGCACATCAACCAGCCACTGGCTGCAGACCGCCCCCGCCCCCGGCCCTGGGCCTGGACCTCACCTGGCCGGAGGCAACAACCCGTAGTCAGGATTCCCAGTGAGGGAAGGAGCAGTGAGACCCCAGCAGCTGGGAATGGGTTTGTGGGCCCTGAAGGGGGGCCAGGAGGAGCACCCCTCCATCCTTAAGTACCACTTCAGCAAGCTCTTGTGCAAACTGAATCAGAGCAGATGTGTTAAGAGCTTAGCAATATGCCAGCTAACTCTTTTTCCTTAAAGGTACCTGTTGTTATTATTATTCATAATTATAGTTATGGTTTATATAATAATATTCAGCTGAACCATGTAAATTATAGACACTGAACCACATTTGACCTATAAGTAAAGAGATTTCACAGGGCTCATCCTGTTCATCTACCACCCTCCCCCCGCCTCTTTGGAGCAAAGCAGGCTTTTACTGTTCACAAAGTTGCAAAACACTTTTCACCCTGTATTCCCCTGTTCAATCTGGGCTGCCACAACCGGACAGGCAGAAAGCGCGAGGCCACTGTTTTCTTGCATCTGTAACGGAAAACTTCGTAGCAGGCAGTAACTGCTCCAGGCTTGTCAAAAAGATGCATTTCTTTCTGTTAATTAATAAGAACGATTAACGTAACACCTGTTTACCTATCTTATAGGATTATCTGAGGATCAACTAGATACGGGCGTATGTAAAAACACTTTGTAAAGTGGGAAGTTCTGTTACAATGTTGACACACTAGATTATTGGTGTTATCTGCTCTTACTACCACAACATCTAACAGAATGGCTATCTCAGCCTTTCTCAGCCAATGATAATAAACTGTCTCATCACAGTTAAATACTCAAATTACAATTTACTTTGAACCCTCCTGGCCCTCATGGGAACCCAGCCTCTGCAGATTGTTCCAAGCTGTTTTGAAGAGCCCTCCGGTGCTGGGTCACATCAGCCCCAGAATGTCCCCTTTATGTTCTTCCCTCCAGCTGTGGTCCCCACACCCTCTGAATTCCCACCAGGCTGGGCATGGCCATCCTCTGGGGGTGCCACCACTGAGCCCACTGCTGGTCTCCTCTTAGCCACTCAGCCCCAATCACGGCTGGGGCCCTTTTCTCAATATTTAATGGATCAGACACAGTGTTTAGCAGGAGCTGATAAAATTTAGGGGACCATGGAAGAAGAGGAAAACAAAGAGAAATACTCACATCCTTGATCAGGATGGTTCTTCTCAGCACCCACAGATCCTAGACTGGTACCCGGGTTATCTCACAGGGCCACCACCTGGCCGGTCCCAGCTTGCTCCACACGGCAGAGCCCAGCCCTGCACCACCTCCAGGGTGGCCTGGACCATGTCTTCCCTCATAGGGCAGATGCACCCTTCTTCAAACAGGGAGACAGAGAGAGGGAGGGGGGACGAACTTCTCCATCACCCGCAAGGCCCACATGCTAAGTCCTCAATTTCTGCTCCAGGACAGCCTTCCTCCCAGGATGACTGGCAGTGGGAATTTTCCTTTAATGGCATTTACCCCCCTCCCAAGGCCACAGTGTTGCTCTTTGCAAACAGCACAATGATAATAGGAATACAGAACCCTCCAGATCAGTCCAGCCCAGGATGTATGTACCATCTGTGTCCAGCCCAGAATGGTCCAGGCCCTCTCCATAGTTTCTGTTCCAGGTGACAATCACGTTTGACTATGCTTTCTGCCGTCCTCTAGACTAGAGTTGCCCAAATCTTCCAAAACACCCATTCAAAGTACCCACAGTTCCACAAAGAACAAACAACAGTGTATGGCTCAGTGCACTCATGATTAAGACAGAACCAGGAACCCTTTCCACACCCCCCCAAAGAGCACAGAATTAGCTGAGCGCCAGCTACATGCACCGCAGATAGAAGACCCCTGCTCTCAGGAGCTTCCCCACCAGTAGAGATAAAAGATACTAACTCTTTAGCCTGTCAGCAGAGCCCCGGTTAAAGGGACAGGGCTCATCCGTATGATGGAAGGCTGGGACAGACCAAGCATGCTTTTTATTATGTACTGGTAGAGGATTGTGGTCGGCAGCTTCTGAAATAGCTCCCAGTGATTCCTGCCTCCTGGGATTAACAACCTTTATAATCCCCTCCCTGTGTGTGTGTGGATGTGTGCACATGCATGTGGTGGCTGGGGAGGGGTGTGGGGGACAGCTGGACCCAATGCCTTCTTCCAACAACTAGAATATAGCAAGGGTGATGGATGGCACTTGGGGATCGGGCTCTCAGTTTGCTCACTCTCCTCCTTCTCAGCATACCTACCTTAATGACATAAGCTGCCGTGTGGGAGACGCCCACGTGGCCAGGACATGAGACGGACTAAGCCACTGAGTCCAGTGACTCCCAAGGAACTGAATCCTGCCAACAACCCCACGAGTGAACTTGGCATCTGATCCCCGTCAACACCTGGATGGCAACCTGGGAGAAGCCCCAAGTGGAGGACCCAGCTGACAGGGCGCCTAGGTTCCTCATCTACAGAAGTTGAGATGCAAATGTTGTTGCCACAAGCCATTAAGTTTTGGGGTAATTTGTTATGCAGCAAGATAATTAGGATGGGAATAATCTTCAAGACGTCTTTTTAAGTAGAAAAATCAAGGTACAGAAAAATGTGTATGTTATTTGTAGAAAAAGGGAGAAATATTTCCATTATATGCATATGTGTGTATCCATATATAAATTTGCATCCATATGCATAAAATAGCTCCGAAATGATACACATTAAATTCAGAATTTGGGTTGAGTCCAAGGAGAAGACCTGTGTTTGTTCACTGCACACCTTTTATGTCTTGATTTCATATCATGTGAAACTGTTGACTATTCAAAAAGTAAGCACAACATTGTTTTTCAAAAAGAACCAGTCAATAACCCACCCAGAAAAAAAGAAAATGAAGATAAAGTTCTTTAAAAAGCAATTAATCAAACCTCAAACTCGGGAGCTGTTATTGATCCGTGCCTGCCTCTTTGTCCCCACATCCAAGGGCTGTCAACTCTCCTTTCAGAATCTCTCAGATCGGACCCACTTCTCCCCCGCTGTCCTCACTCCTACTACCTGGACCAAGCCACAGGCATCTTTCGCCTGGACTATTGCAATCACTTCCTAAGCATCGTCCCTGCCTCCTTTCCCGATCATGCTGCACCCAGCAGCCAGAGGGATCTTTAAAAATTAAAAATTAGACCACATCGCTCCCTTTCTTCATACTGGAGGTCAGATTTTCACTTCCTCTTTTAATGTGAATTTGGGTATAGGTGATAGCTTCCAATGATAGAAATACTCCTGGAAAAAAACAAAGGGAGAAGGGAATTAATACATACTAGGTGCTTCCATAAAGCAGACTTTACATATATTACTTTGTTTGCTCTTCATAAAAGCCCTATGGTATGGCCAGTTATGGTCCCCACTTCACAGATGAAGACAATTGAGGTCAAGGAGGCTGCAGGACGTGTCCATGGGAACTGTCTGCTCTGCATCCCCTTCTCCTGGGATCTCCCCTTAGCTCCAGCCACCTGCTCATTGTAGGAGCTGCCATCATCTGCAATTGTCCTGCCTCCTGACCACAGCTGATTCATTCAAGGGCAGGCATCTGACCCTGTCCTGCAGGGATCCCTTCCCAGGCTGCCTACAGCTGCAGAGAGGCCCAGTAAGCCAGCTCAGCCAGGGGCCTTTGATGACCATCACTCGCAGCAGAGAAGATGCCGATCTGTGGTGGTCAACCTTCCCTGGACTTGGACCAGGGAGTCTGGCCACTACTCCCCCTTCCACCCTGAAAGTGAGTTTGTCACTTTCTCTGCACTCTCGGGATCGTGTCTGTGAAATAACAGGATGGGGGCCAGGGGGGTGGTTTGGATTGGAGGAGATGATCTCCGTGGACCCTATCTCTTCTGTGTTAACTTGGGAACTGTGGTTCCCCATGCCGGGCCTCAGTTTCCTCAGCTGTAAAATGAGAATTGGAGATGGCAGTTGGGGGTGAGGAATGGATGAGACAATTTCAAAACCTCATGAGGCCATCACGTCAGCAGTAAGTGGCTGCCTTCCTTCTCAATAGGGGAGACGTCCTTCCCCCTGACTTTTGGCTGAGCCCCTCCAGGATTCTTCAGTGAGAGGATGGTAGACCTTCTAATCTGGGACTCCTGACTCGGACGGAGCTGATCTCACTTACAGCAAACGAGTCACAGAGACAAAAACCATCTGTGGTGTGGTGGAGACCCTGCCAGAGGCCCCCTCAACCTGCCTGTTGCCAAGACCCCAGCTCCTACCCCCCAGCCCTCTTGGCAACCCCTCTCCCCCCAGATTTGATTAAATGTTACATCTCCCATCGTGCACTCGGGCCTCCTGCTCTGAGGTTACTAGCTGCTCTTAAGAGTTCTTTATACAACTCCACTTGGGCTCCGAGCCACTGAATTCTTCCTGCTAATGCATTACTTAGATTAGCTAAGGATGTTGGCATTTAGAGCCAAACTCCAGCATTCATCTCGGAAGGCAGCCCCATGATGGCCATGGCTGTTCTTTAAGTGTGGCTCTCCTCTGCAGATTGTTTGCAATGTAAGGTGTTACACAGGCTCTCACTCTTATCTCTAATTCTGCATGCTTTCACGATTAGCTGGCTAGGAGTACAGACGTTTCACTGCTGGCCTCTGGCATGTCAATCAGTCCAAGGTACGAGGCAGCAGACTCCAGCCACTTTTATACCCCCAGTACCCCGACCCCTCTTCAGGAGACCCCACCTTGCCTCTCGGCCGAGATCGAGCAGGTCTAGCGTCCCCTGCTGCCCGGAATGCTGAGGGGCCCTCACATCTGTATGACATTTGACAGCTTATGAAACTTTCACTTACCCTCTTCACATGCCTGATTGCTATTTTACAGATGGGGAAACTAGATCTCACAAAGGACGTCTTTGTCAATTATAATGCAAAACACAGATGGCTAATTAGGTTCACTAAGCAGCCAAATTTCTTCACTTTTGAGTCCAGGGTTTTTCCCGCTACACCGCAGCTGCCTGTGGTTTATTAAAAGGAAACCAACTCGGAGAAATGGATGGCCTACCCAAGACGGTCCATACCAGATGTTAGGGATAAAACCATGGTTTAGGGAACATAAGAGTTCATTTTTCTTTCACATGATAGTCCATGATAGCTGTCAGCTCAGCTGCACAGTCTGTCAAGACCCAGGTTCCATCCAAGTTGTTGCTCTGCTGTCTCCAGGGCCCATTTATGACTTACCTGTATGACTGAAGCTAATTTTGCAGCCACATCTGGGTTGCAGCTGGTGGGAAGGGAAAAGAGGAGGAGAATGGCCATGATTTTAAGGCCGGAGCCCCCAAATGACACATATCATTACCACTCACACTCCACTGGAGAGAATTTGGTCACATGGCTGTCCTTCACTGCAAAGTGGGCAGGGAGCTATAATCTAGCTATGCGCCCAGGAAAGAAGGGAGATGGAGTTAGTGGGGTGACTAGCAGAATCTCCCACACAAAGCTTTGAAAGTCTCCAACTATTCTTTTCTTTAAAAATTTGCTTATTTGTATTTATTTTAATTTGGGGGGGGTAGGTGATTATGTTTACTTATTTACTTATT